GAGTGATGAAGTGGTGAAGTTTCATGGTGATATCTATGAGTTCATGTGTTCACCTGTAGAGTCTCTAAATGTCTGTAATGGAACTAAACGTCTCTTTAAAGGACGTTTCCTCTAAATGAGTTTGTTCTCAGACTCTGATGATAAATCTCCACTTCAGCAGCTCTTACATTCACCAAACTTCACTCGTTCATTCCTCTCTGTGTGCCGAAGGTTCACACAGAGGGGTTTGTTCACACAGCATTCATGTATAATTCTCTCAGTAAAAACCTTTGTTTCTAATATGTCCACAACATGAAACAAGAACTTTGAACCTGGCTTTATCCAACGTTCACATTTCTCTCTGGTAATGTGTGATGGTGATATCTATATGCGCCATGCGTTACCCTATTCACCTGTCATGTCTCCCTTTGAATACAGAAACGTGTGCAGAGCAGCTTGTTACATAAGAAGAACTCACCAAGAGACACGACCGCCACGCTCTCCGGAAGAAAATGCAGTTTGAACTTGATGAGCAGGTGCACCAATATGATGCAGATACCTGGGGTGAGAGGGGGTGAGAGGGGGGGGGGCAAAGGAAAACTGAATGAATATTTAGGACAAATACATCTCAAACATCAGGTCACATGAACTCAGATCAGCCCAGAAATAGCCCTCACATCAAACAGCGTTAAGATCTTTTCTCTGGCTGCGTTCCTCGACACAAACTGCTGTAGACAGGACGGGGATGTCTATGAGAAACCATACAGCTGCGACTTCATTCCCTCTCACTGCAGGACGAACTGGATACACGTCATATCAGTCTACGAAAGTATTTTATGCAAATGAGTAAAAAAATACACTTGCTTGACATAAATACGACTACAAAGCAGCTCCCTGACATTTAAAATTGTACTTCTGAGACAGGCCGTGTTGTACATCAATGTGCTGAATCAGTGCATACGCATATTAGCATAATCGTGATGACAAACCCCAAGGCCACAATAAAGAAAAGTAAATGGCAATTTAAACATACGGTAGAAATGCAGCGCAGCAAATGAGGTGAGTCTTCAGACACAGTGTACGCAACACTAAAGCCAGCTATGACATTAATAAAATAACTAATTAAAGCACATTATGTTAATATGGTTTCCCAGAAGATCTACTTAGGATTAATGTGCGGTTTCTATATTGTTCTCTGCGGTGGCCTCTGGTTTATTGATCTCCACCATCTCAGCCAAACCACAATGAGATGGTATTAAAGTTACTGTGAGGAACCTTTAACTGGTTATGAACCAGTCTCAGTGTAGTCCTGATCCTCTGTATGAACTAGTCTCAGTTTAGTCCTGATCCTCTGTATGAACCAGTCTCAGTTTAGTCCTGATCCTCTACATGACCTCCATCAGTAAATAGACCATCAGAGAGAAGATGGTCTGTTTCTATAGAGTTATTCTTAATGCTCGTCATCGGTGTCACCGGGTCGGATTCTGGTGAAAACAGATCCTCCAACAGAGACCGGTCCACCTTGTACAGTCCCAGATCCGGCTCCGACTGCAGCCCTGGACCTGCAGTCGGAGCTCCGGAGGGAGGAGGAGAGCTGGACCCGCTGGAGGGAAGGGAGGCACAGGAGAACCAGAACCAGGAGTGAGAGGGGCAGACTGTCAGACCCTGCTGCAGTAAAATGAGGTTTTCTAAAGGGACTCTGGTGCTCAGAGACACTACCACTTTAGTCCACAGGGACCAACAGAATCAACACTAAATGAAAGTTATTTTAGAAGACAAATTATAATTTTCTGCATGTTGTGCTTTTTTTTGCAACCAATCAAATGTTTGTACGTTATACCATTTGGGTCAAAATGAAGTAACGTGGTTAATGCGTCTAATTGGTAACCATATGCATGATTTATGCCACTTCCTCGGTACAAACCCTCACAGTGGTCAACATGTGACTTAACCAGCAGTGAACCAAAGTGCATAATGGACACTTTGTGTCTCAAGAAGCTATTCGTGACCAACACATACTGTATTAATGTGAAGCCACATCCTTTCCTTTATCCACTTCCCTCCTCCTGAATCCATCGGATTTGATGACCCTGTGCATTTGCCCTCCATTATGAGATGTTTGAGGTCTAACTTATCCATATTGCAAGAACCACAGCAGAGAGAGAGAGAGAGAGAGAGAGTGAGAGTGAGAGAGAGAGAGAGAGAGAGAGTGAGAGTGAGAAAGAGTACCAACCAATAACAAGCAGGCTGAAGAAGATGGTCAGCCCGCTGGACTGCTCTTCTTCCTGGGCCTTGACCCCCGTCTGCACGGGCAGAATGGGCTTGACGGTCGGTGGTGCCGGGGTTGTGGGCTTGACGGCGGGTGTCGTAGAGAGGAGGGTCTCGTTGCTCGAGGTGTCCGTGACGTTGGACTTGCTGCAAGGAGAGACAGCGGTCAATCAAGACATGGAAGTAAAAGATACAGCTCTTCAATACACACCACAAATCACTGAATCCACATCATTCAAATCACATTATTTCAAAAGTTATTTGATAAATTTGAGAGCGCAGAATTCCCTTATTTACACCTAACCACTCCTCAAACCTTTTATATTAATACTAAGGTAAATATAGTGTAAGATAGTAACGGTTGGATGTCACAAAACCTGCATTTGAACCTCACCTACTTTAATCTTAAGGGTTATAACACCTAACTACACTACAGAGACTCAAATTAAAGACAAGATTTAAATAAGTAAATAAGTAAAAAATCCACAATAACTAAAATATTATACATACAGACAGAATAATTGTAGTACACCTGGCAGTTATTATAACGTGTCTTTCTGTTGCTAGTTAGCTAGCTTGCAGTACATTAAATATTTGGATATTTTGGATACATATCGATATTTGTCTCAACACACCCGACAGACTGTCCCTCCTTCTTATGGTCCATTGAATCGTGTCCATCTTCCTTGTCCTGTCTTACTACAGTTTGCTGGTGTTCTAGTGGAGCAACCTTATGGTTCACGTCTCCTCCGTCCTCGTCTCTCTCACGTAGATCCAACGGCTTGACGCACGTGTTTAGGAGTAACAGCAACAAGGAAAGCAACAACACGTTACGGTGAACGCCTCTCATTCTCGAAAGGGGTGCATTTACACGCAAAATAGCGACGCTTTGTAGAAGACTGGAAGTTCCATGTCGACAGCGCTATGTGTCTGTTGACATCGCTACTTCCACTTCCTGGTTGAAGACAGTTTTGTTGGGAATTGTAGTCTTTTACGTTGCACGGATGACAAAGCAGAACAGCAAGGAAACAAAAGAAAGCAGGTTAATGCAACTACTGTCAAACAAATGTATACGTTGTCCATCACAGAGGGTCTGATTTCACTCTTAATTGTTTAAATAAAGTGTCAATGTGTCGCAGTAATCATTGTGGACTCAATTTCCCATGAGCCATTGTTATGTCGCGTGTCCACCTGCTGTGTACTGTGGTTTTAATGAAGGCTGCACTAGCTGCAAATTACCTGCAGATGTAAGAAATACTAAAACACTTGTCGCCCTGTGATGAGTAGATGGGTGCAAGTTGAGATGGATATAGAGAGATATTTGTAAATAACATACATAAGAGTTATTAGTGGGAGAGTACAAGTGTGTATACCTTAACAATCTAAATCATACACTTATAGGCCTATTCAGTGGTGGCCATATACAGTATATATATATATATATATATATATATATATATATATGTGTGTGTGTGTGTAGGGCCTACCTTAGCTTCGGCATTGATCACATTGCTTCATAAATGTCATACAAAACTGCAAAAAAATTCCTATATATGTTATGAATAAATAAAAAATGACAGTTAGGGTTCAGGTTTGTTTTTGTAACTGTTTTAGAGTTGTTCATTCAGCTTTATGGTTATTTTGGAGGCTGTAGTATAGTTCATTTATGTCATTAGGGAATAATAGAGTTTACCAGAACACACAAACACACACATAAGAATAAAAGTTACAATAAATAAATGGCCATAACCTTGATGATGACAGGTTTTATAGCACCCTTATGATAACTCTGTTTATATATTAAACAAACAACAAAGAATATGTCCCATAGAACCTAACATCATGTTTCAGAGTAAAACTACAGATAGATGAGCTGAAAATAGTTAATTAGCCACTTTAATTAGCCATAAACCAGATATGTAATATAAATCATATTAGGATAAATAGCTGTCTTAATATTATTACTCTCTGTAATAACGGTGTTACGTTGTTGTTTGTTCAGGGTTGTTTCTTTAACAGTTTTAGAGTTGTTGATTCAGCTTTATCTTTTATTTTAGAGGATAATGTAGTTAATTTATGTAATTTAAAAAACTAGTTAAATATTAGAAACGCCCTTCCGTAACACAAACACACACACATACAAATCAAAGAGTTAACACAATGAAACTCTCCATAACCTTCATGATGAGGACACTTATGACATATTTCAGTTTATATATTAAACAAAAAATATGTTCCATAGAACTTAACATCATGTTTGAGAGTAAAACTGCAGATAAATGAGCTGACAATAGTTAATTAGCCGCTTTAATTAGCCATAAACCAGATATGTAATGTGAATCACATTGAGCTAATTAGCTAGCTTAAAACTAATGCTCTCTGCCACAACGTTGTTACGTAGCAACGGTTGTCCAGTGTGACGTTTTTCTTTCGAATCCCCCGGAACATACGTTCTTAACGGTCGTGGGGCGCGTGCTCGTTGACGGTACGTTAACGCCCACTTTTCGGTGGTATTTGCTCATTTTGCGGAAAGGCAGCTCCATTCATAGGGCTAACGTTGGTAGGCAGGCGGGGGGGGAAAAGGCGCAGGAGCGACCAAAACACCACCGACGTATAAATGATGGTCTCTCACTGAAAAACCACCGGGTTGAACTGTCATTGTCAACCGTTTTTTTTCGACACGGGACCAAAAAACAAACCGCAACGCAAAAAACCCCGAAACCCATCCTCAAGGGAATGGATTTTTAAATGCCTGTAATTTGACTTGCGCTCCGCGGAAATACGCCGACTTCCTACTAGTCGCCTTTTTCGCTCCTCCTCATCATCATCATCGCTTTTTTTTTTTTTTACCGCAGACCGGCCACCTCCACTCGGCTCATTAAACGCAGGGCAGTCCGCGGACCCGGCTTGAGGCTCTCTTTTGGCGCATCTTGGACACGTTTGAACTGCCCCAAAAAAACGTCGTTTGTGTTAAAGATCACACGGAAACGTGCGCGCGTGTGTTTGGTTTCGGTGTATGTGTTTTTTCTTGCTGCCTGTATAATAATGCCGACACATTTGCGGTTCCGGAGAAGGTCATTCCTTGGGCTTTTATTCCTTTTTTCGCTGTCCACCTCCGCGTTGTATTTCATCTACTCCGCCCCAGGAATCGGTAAGTGAGAACCAAGTGATATTACGGTAAAATAACATGTTGTTTATACGGGTTTGTGAGGTCATGTGTGACAGTGAAGGAGGGTGGCGGTGTTCACGCGCCTCTTGCTGAGGAGCCTTGATCTCTCTCCCAATCGATGGTGATGAGACTCCTGCTGGATGCTTGGAGCTCCATCCCATAATATCCATGTACCTGACCGTGGTAATGACAGTGCTACTGATGAGCTGCTATAATCATGCTGGGGTTGTAGCAGGCCCAGCAGCTATGATTATAAAGCGTTTATGGCAAAATATAGTCATTTGGCTTTTGGGGGGTTCACTGTTAGCATCAATGTGTGTTTCACTACTGCCTGTTTTTGTTTTTTTGTTGTTTGTTTGGGGGCAAAGGTCACGTTATTACTCATGGATTCATAGGGCCTAAATTACATTTATTTTACAAGTCAACCTCAGCTTGGAGATGACAAAACAATCCATTTGTGACATCATTAGGTCACATGCAGGTGTGTAATATAGCGTGTTTGTTTAATTAATTAATGTCTCCTGCCTTTGTCTTTTTACGTTGAACACCTGTGTCACCACCTCAGTCTTTCTTGTGCATCTGCGGTTTCACCCGTCTTTTCTCGGAAGCTGAGGTCCATTCAGGTCCACTATCAGCCCAGATACGTACATATCTATGTGTATATAGGGGCTATTTTGGTTCATTATCGCCCCATGTGATGCCCAAATATCAGTGGCTTTATTGCGGCTTATCTCGTTGCATAGCAGTTATTGTAAAAGTCAGGACTTTCACCCTGACTCTGGCCTCGACTCTGTGCCAACCAGATCTGTTATTCCACTGAAACCTTTTTTATTTTTTATATACTCGCTGATCGAGCCACCACATATTCTGTTGTGCTTGCTCAACAGGCGTGGTTTGGCGAGGTTGGGCTTCCTTTATTATCTCAGATGTATCTCGAACCTGTCCACCACTAAATAATGCCCCCACTCGACTGAACTACAACGTTCTGAGGGAAATGTAGTTTCTCACAGATTACAGGTCGAGAGTTTTAAGCAGTTTAAAAACACGTGGATAACTTAAATTGAAACATAAAAACACAAACAACTATTTCCATTTAGGGAACAGAACTACTTGGTTAGGCTTAGTAAAAAAGTGCTTTGGTTATGTTTTAGGAAACAAAAATACGTAATTACAAAAACTTTGTAAAATGGTAACAGCCCTTTTTGTTCTGTTTTTTTGTATTTACAATTGATTTGTAAAACATTTAAAGCCTCTAAACCTAATTCAGAATGCAGTTTGAGAACTGACACGAGTCATCTATCTGAGCCCTCATTCAAGGCGAGGCCAGGGTTGTAGTTTACACAAGGAAGTCAATAGGCTCAACAACATTAACAGTCAGCCGGTAAGAGCCATGGCATCATCACTGACTGTACGAGTGGAATAATGCTCATGTCATACAAGTGCAGCTTTTTTTCTAAACCATCAAAGAGAGAGCCGGTCCCTCTTCTCTTACTCATCAAAATGGGTATTGATCCATTCACGCTTTTTACCCGCAGTGGACAACTTGATCAATAATTGAATCAATTCACGTTACCGGCAGGAATAGTTCCAATAACGGCGAGCAACGATTCCCTCTGAACGTGAAACAAATAAACTGCATAAATCGTTGAGTAAACAATCATTCACTTGTTCAATATTTTAGGTATCGATGGCGTCTGGTGACCGACTGAGATTCGTCTGTGTCCGTCCTCCTGGGCGTTGACTGTCGTAGGGCTGGAAATGGTCAAGTGGTTTTACCGGGAAAGGTGTGGGGGGGGGTAGTTCAGGAACTGAAAAAGGACCAGCAGCACCAGTCCATTAATTATAGATGGTAACCAGGAGCTTCTGCTGCCGCTACTAAAAGCTATAGTTTAGTCTTTTACACATGGGGCGTCCCGCCACAGCTCGAGCAGCAGGAAACTCAGACGTGCGTTGTGGAAGATGGTGCTCGAAAAGGAATAGCGCCAATTTTATTGTTGTTTTTGGCATGAAGGTGGTGTGATTTACTCACTGGTAGTGAGATTGATGCAGGGGGCATTAGCTGAGGTTTCACATCCTTGTGGTCAAGAGATGCACCAAAGTGCGCCGCGGCTTTTTTCAGACGGGAGACAAACGGCAGCGAATGCGGCCGGTTAACAAAGACGTTTTTAAAACCACAGCGCAGCATTAGCATTCGGTTTAACGACAGGATGCATCATCTTTAAGAGTCTCCTCTCAGCGGCGCGGACCGAATGCACCGAAGAAAATAGTTCCACGATGCAGAGAAGGGATTAATCAGATGCACAGGATCAATTTATCAGCTATACTTTTTAATTATTATCAGAAAAACTGCAGCGATATTACTTCCGGAAAGTGACTTTAACCACCAAACTGTATGAAATATTGAGACAGGATCCCGTAGATTAATTAACTCAGATGTTTGGCGTTTTGGACGTTGTCCATCTGGGATTACGGCCATTAGTTGTCTTTTTGCAACAGGTAGTGACCATATTTGGACTGCAGAGGAGTGATGTAGACACCGTATATGTCTCTGGTAGCGACCTGTCAATCACAGTAGCCCCGCCCTAAAGCATCCCCTGCTTTATGGTCTGTTTGACTCTAAATGGACCATAATGTACTAAATGAACATCACGCTGTACTGAAGAAGACTTGAAACTAGAGATTGAGACCATAAACTCATGTTTACAATGTTTACTGAGGTAATAAATCAAGAGAGAAGTAGAGTCATTTTCTAGAAGTTCGTAGAACTTTGAACTCTTTTTGCTACATAGCACGATTTTAAAGGAAGACGCTGCCTCCGATATATTACCTCCCAGAAACGTTTCATAGTTTATGCACCAGTAAGATCATCTGGTTCCTCTCTATAAGCTGTTCCACAAAGCAGACAAGAACCTCAAACAAAAAATGCAACTCTCAATTTATTCAGAGTTGCATTTTATATATTTATTTTCCTTCTTAACTTAATTTGGGGTCCATTAGTCTCTTTGTCTCTTTATTTTCGTCTCGTCAATAATTTCGACAGCACTTTGAACTGCATTCGATTTGTTTGTAAAGGTGCTGTACAAATAAAACTTTATTGATTGATTTCACAATACTGTCGCTACATTTCACTATAAATAATATGTTCATCATCATCATTCTAGCTTTCCCTATTGTCATAATTATCCTTCAGCACAACAACATCCTCCCATTTCAGCACTCCTAGCATCAACACTATACAGTACATGTCATCTAGTGGGGGAGTGGCCTCAAAGTGTTAAATACATAGATGCATGATGGCAGCCACGCTCTGATGGTGTGAACAGATTTGCTGAAAATGATCATACAGCAAGGGGACTGTAGAATTAGCAGAACAATTCACAGTAGAAAGGAAGAAACAGACCGATGGAAAGAGTAGGAGGGAGGGAGGGAGGGAGGGGTGTGATGAAAGAGAGCTGCTTTCCTTCTGCTGGTCTGCACATCGGGGAACCCATCCAGAACACCTGAGCAGGGCTTCCTAGGTGGCTTCAGTGCAGCATGCCCCAATTTCACGGCTATATATATATATATATATATATATATATCTATTTCGATACACCTCGCTTTATTTATTATATACACACACACACACACACGTGTGGATGCTGACTGATGCAGGCTGGGGATGCAGGGCACAGCTGGGCCCGATTGCAGCAGTTTATTTAATTAAAACATGAGAGAATCCCACCGGAGCTAGAGCTAAGGGGGAAGACACAGGTTCTATTTATAGGTTTGAACACAGATGCACACACACCTCCACATCCGGTGGGAGCGAGGAAGACAAGAAGCCAGGTGCTTCCCCAGACTCATCCTCACATCTGACTGTGTGTGTGAGATGGATGCCTTGCGTACGTCTATGTGTAATACGTCTAGCTTAATTTCTAGGTGCAGCCTGCTGGTTAGTGTTGACAGTGGCCGTCAGGTTGCCTCACAGTGTGAAGCAATACTGACACACAAGTTAGCAAGGAGACCCACCCAGGTTGTAAAGCATCACCACGCATTTATGTAACACAGTGGTGAGGTGAGGATACACCTATTTAGCTAACAGCGACATAGACGTTTTTTATGTGCTGTTCAGGCTGTGAGGCAACCTCACGTTACCTTTGTAGCTCCTCTCCAGGTAGACACCTACACACACCTGTCATCCTCCCAGTGACTCAAGGGGGCAGGCTGTGAGTAAGTGCACGTCTCAAATGCAAATGATAGCCAAAGCGTTTGGAAGTAAACACACACTTCCTGCTCTTACAGGCCCGAAAAATTAATTTGCATACCGGCAGGTGTCATGTCTTCAAGTTGATCTGCTTTAATCAGCAGGTATTACACAGAGACTTCATTAACAACACTGAGATAGCAACATATTGTCTTGGAATAATGAGGCAGATGTGTCTCCTTCATTTACTGAAGACGTGAAGCTTTGAACCAGTTCTGCTTTCTGGCTGTTCGGCCTTTTGACAGTTTATGACTCGTCACATGGATGTCCAGGTTTTATGTGTTTTCACATCTTTATTGCGGCGATCTATAAAACTCTGTGACACTAAAGGCACGTGAGTGTTCTTGTTCAGTGACAGATCTTTTGATGTATTGTAGTTGACTTTCTTTCTTTTCTTGCAGAATCAGACGTACAGTGACGCAAAATATCAAAATACGATCATGAGTTACCCCGTAAAGCCTGGTCCATTCAAATTTACTAGTTTTATAATTGATCCTCCGCTAAATCCCGTCCCTTGAACACAGACCGGCCAATCATAGCGTAGCATCAACCAGCTCTGACCAGGGTCCAAAAACACCTCCATAGACTTCTATTCAGTTTGACATCCTGGATGTAACGTTCAAACACATATTGTAGACCCTTCTGTCTGAATTTGCGTTTCCCAAAGATTAGATGATATTTATTCAGAGTGCAGTTAGTGACAGTGTGTTTGAAGGGGCGGGGCTTAGCAAAGGGC